GTTTGAACTTGTGTCCTCTAATTTCTGAGGAGAAAAATAAGAAGTGTATAAAAATATTAAAACACGATTATTATGAAATTTGGACTTCTATGATAATATATTGCCCGTGATAGAGTCATATTAATACTCAAAACATGCTATAACATTTAAGTTAAGAAAATACAATTGCATGACTTTTTACTACTCTTGACTTGTTCTTATGTGTACGACGTAATGTTAGGACATACATTCATTCACTTATCAATGGAGGTCCTTAGTCAATAATGAAATTTCATGAATTAAACATAACTTCTAGAAGACAAGTCTTAGATTTACATTTTGTGCAAATGCAATGTTTTTAATAAATTGTCCTGCATTAAATGTTATGGAAAATACAAGGAATTGTTTAAACTATTTATTTACTAAAAATATAAGTGTGCATTAAACATATTTATTTTTTACGCATGTTGAAAACACACACATTCATTTAGTTAGTGGCGAAGCCAAGATTTTGATTACATGACACTATGGCAGTATATGATGACAGTCAGCTATGCAATTGTAGCTAGAAAAAGAGTAGCATTTGAAAAATGGTAAAGCTTCCTATTTTATTTAGAAAATTAATTAAGAAAATACAAAAGTAATCAACATTGATTTAACCATACATAAAATACAATTAACTTAGTAGAAAAAAATAGAAAAGAAAAATCACCAAATTTAATTTAAAACAATCAAGTTTTCATTACTGTTCTAAAAAAAAGTTTTCATTGGACATAACTGATCAAAAAGATTGGAAAAATAAGTGGAATCATATATGTAAATACAAAATAAAACAAGCAAACACAAAAATTTCATAAAGACATAATTATTACCAAAAAGAATAAAAATAAAAAGCTCACCGTCATGACCAAAGTCGTCTTATTCAAATATTATGCCCAACTTTCTTCATAAATGGTTGTTTATTCAACCAAAATTTGACTATATATTTTTAAAAGTTATTAGAAAATCCCATAATTCAAGGGACATGTGCTCCCTCCCTCCATTAGTGTAATTAGTTGTCACCTTTGTATCGTACTTGTAAAAACATGTGAAGTGACTTCATCGATTATCATGTTTTGTAATTGATGTTTGCATTTTTTACACGCACAATAAACATGCATATATAGAGGCATTCGCTCAATTTTTTATCACTCTAATCTACCCTACCATGCTCAAAAAAGTAACATTCCCGATAAGTCACCAACAATTTTTGTTGTTAAAACTTGGATCTAAGGTAAATTTACAATGTTATATAAAACATTTAGGATAAATAGTTCTGGAAGTCCTCAACTATTTTACAAGGTAACAAGTGGGCTGTAGAACACATTGTTATAAGCTTAATTTTCTCATGTCTGACTCTTTGGAAGATATAACAGATAAATACTAAATTGAATGTGAGTCCTCACATCTAGTTGTTACTTCGATATCTAGCTCATGCTCTGTTTCATGTAATATAGTCTTGTCTATGTGCAAATCCCCTCCTATTACTCTTCAGCCCAAATTCAACCTACCAACTCAATTTCAGCTCTCTCTTCACTACCACATTTGTTATTCCCAATTTAAAAATGCACAAGTCAAGAGAAACTTCATTTTTCCTCAATCTAGGGACGTCTCTGCAAGGTATATTTTTGAAAGAAAAAGTCCCAATGAGCTGACTTGGAGAATAAATCTTGCTCGCCTAATGACCCTTAGGCACTCACGGGCATATGAAAAATTGGAGGATGATGGAAAACAAAATGATTTTTTTTCTTTTATTTTATTTCTAATTGAAATCATATTATAATCTATCTTTTCAATGATTACATTTCTAATGATTAAGCCCTATTTGGATTTGCTAAAAATCCAATTTTTATTAGATCTTAGTAAAAGATTATGAAATGTGTCATTAAAATTTGATAAAAATTGTAGATCTATGAAATCTAGTTAAAATTAGTTGATGTTTTCAATTTAGATTTTTATCAACTTTTTTAGCTAAATCAAACAGGAGCCGAGTCAATCAAGAATCGTTAGCTCGAGATCTACAACCTTGAGAATTGAGTTGATAAGAGTGCTTGAGATTATTTTTGCAAAAGTCGAAAACGAACTTGCTATATTACAAAAAGTTGAAACCTCTATGCCCAAATATTTAGACACATATTACACAGTTCCAAGGAGGTTATGCAGGAAAAGATTCATATAATTACGCTCTTACTAAATTTAAATCACCAAAAAAAGGCTAGAATCCAAAACAAGATTAGAATCTCTAATAGGTATAGAAGAACATATAGAAATGTTTAGACAAAATAAACTAAAATTAGTAAGATTAGAAAAGATGTACAGTCAAACCCAATAAGAGAAATAACTATTAGTGTTACCATAAAATTCATAACTGATAAACTGAAAGAATATTGTATAGAATGGAAATAAAGAAATTAAATTATTTTTTTTGCTCAAATTTATATACACCACAGAAATATAATTATAGAAGAAGAAAGAAAAAAAATTGTATAAAAACGATAAAAAAAACATAAATATAAAAGGCATAGACCAAATAGAACATATTATAAAAATAAAAGACCTAATTATAATAGATATGTTAGAAAACCAAAAACTAAAAAAGACTATAAATGTTATATTTGTGGAGACCTTAGACATTTTGCTAACAAATGCCCAAATAAAAATAAAAATAAAGAAAATATAGCTAAATCTATGATAATAGAACATAAATAAGGAAGCATCTAAGAGTTCGGATGGATTTAGTTTTATAACAAATTTTGTTCAATTTGAAATTCTTGCACTATTTCATTTCCTAAGCTGAAAGAATGATGAAAACTGAAACCTTCCAGGTCTATGCAACCAATAACCCATCTTTAAGGGTATTTTCTCTTATAACAATCACATCTTTATGGTTATATAAACCCACTTCTTGAGATATGGTTCACAATTATTCATTACTTAAAAATGACAAGAATTTTCTTCCACACGACTTTGTGATAAATAGCACTTTTATAAAAGGAACATTTGCTCAACCAATAAAATTCTAGAAGTAAAAAAAGGCTCAAAATCATCAAGAAGCTTAGAAGTATGAAGATGATTATATGACTTCGTTAATATTCTACTTGATTAAACAAAAGTATTTTATTGGATAGAAGAATATTACATGGTTAAAGAAAAGCTCATGATTGGTCGATAGCGATTAAAGAGTTGGTTAATCATCTTGAACTCTTCTTCTATTACGGAGGTAGAAGTTACTTAGCCATTTTGAACTCTTCCTCTTAAGGAGGTGAAAGTTATTTAACCATTTTGAATACTTCTTCTACTAAAGGAGGTTAAAGAGATTTACTTGATCATTTTGAACAGTTCTTAGTTTTTCTTATAAATAGGTGTATTGGCATGTATTTTGAACTATCAAGTAGAAGAGAAATTTTAATGTTTGTATAACAAAGTTTTTGAGAGAGGATTGCTCTATTGTACTAGTTATATATTATGTGATTAATGAAAGTTTGTTTATTTGAGTGAAAAGTAATGTTCTATCACAACTTCTACCCCTCGGAGGAAACCGGAGGTGAAAGGGAGGGAATCGCTCGTCAATGGCAGGAAGCGAGGATGAAGTCTAAGAAATTTACAATTCTGACCAGTAGACACCATTCCTTCATTCCCCACCTATCCATAATGCAAAGAAAAAAATGAATTCCAGTGGAATCAAGGCTAGAGAGAATAGGATAAGGATAGATGGCCAAGGCCACATGAGCCCTGGCCATCTAGCACGGCTGGAGAGAATAACAATATAAACACAAAAGTATACTTTAGCCCCCATTTGATGGTTATTATTGTGTAAAAATGATGTTTTGATTAGTGATGTTTTGGAGAATGTGTGGTTAAAAAGTGAAAAAAATTTGGATTTACATGCAAAGTATTTTATTGTGTGAACATGTGATTAAAAATAAGTGTGGGAAATAAATTGTTTTGTTTCAATGGAAGTCAAACAGGGACTTAGTTATGGAGAACACATCATTAAGAACAAATCCAGAAGTAAAGATTGTTGCTATCTAGAGAGAGTTGGAGATTTTCAAACATATATTCAGATTGATTTTAGAATGTCTACAAGATTCAAGAAATTGATCAGGAAGACAGAACTCATAGAAAATCTATTTGACAAAAAAAAAAAAAAACGAATATTTTTGAATTCACATGCTGACTATAAGATCCTTTTATCTTATAGTGTGGTTTGAACATCAAAAGAATCTATGCAAGCATGGAAAAACAATAGTTTTCAACTGGATGAATGCAAAATGCTTGAAAGACTGGACATGAACTGAAATCATGAAGTTTATTATAAAGTTAAATGAATTATGTTTCACATGAAAATTTTGAACAAGTCCCATTAAGTCTTAACAGCCAAAGGCTTGAAGATGCCTAGTGTAATAATTGACAACAACTACAATTAGTAGTTCGCAAAGAGAGTTTAGCCACTTGTGTCACCAGTTACAGTCCAATTAAAGAGGCAAAACATAGACAAATTAATCAGAAATATATCCCAATTAATTACAAACAATAGAGCTAGAGGATATGTTACCTATCAAAAAAAAAAAAAGAGCTAGAGGATGTGTTAAACCAGTGCGCTCTGTGATGCTCAGACTTCCCATAATGCGTGGAGTACCTGTTCGCAATTGCGAATATGGAGCTTCTTCAAGTTCCGCACCCTCTTGCTATATCACATAACATTTTGTCCATAATACCTGAGCAGTAAACCAAATGAAGAGATTGCAAGTACCTGCAGCCAATGCGAATTTCACATAACGCATCATTTTCCATTTGCGGAAACCTCGAGCAGCAAGTCTAACTTAGAAAGGCCACCGCATTGAGCAGTCCAAGACCCCCAATCATAACATGTAACAGTAATGTCGGAACAAAGAGTTGGAAGTGATAATTGTAGGTTCATTGGGAGGTAACAAGGGAAGGGGAGGCTTCACAACCCAGACCAGTATCCGAAAAAATAATGAAAAGAAAATATTGTGTGGCAAGTAAAGAGGCTGTCAAGCTGCTTACGTGCAAGCTTTTCCAATGGAATTCAGTCCGCCTGTTGCAATATTGTTGCAACCATTGACATTAAGGAGCTAAAGCTCTGCGCAACCTAGCAACAGAATCCAAACCCATGTCATGCAGAAGTAAGCAATACTCTAGGCTAAGTTTTTTCAACTTCTTATATCCTTTCCCTATAGCGCAAAGGCTCCTACATATGTGTGAAGGAAAGATGATATTAGTGAACTAGCAGAAATATTCATCCATTTTTCCTTTCTCCAATCCCACACCTAAAACAAAAGAAGAGAATTAGAAAGAACAAAAAGAAATAACATATAAATCACCACTGGATAATGCAGATAAAGATAAAAGTCGTTCTACTTTAAAAATACAACCAATCTATCACATGGACTCCCATAAATGCATTAATCACACGCAATCGACAAAAAAACCCCACAATTTTTTAAATTTTAAACCCCAAAAAAAAAAAAAAAAAAAAAGAACGAGTTAATAAAAAATGCAAATTGCATTTGTGCACCACAGTGAAAAGAAAGACCTCCATAAAATTACATTGACAATAGTTTCAGAGAACAAACAATGGAGGTCCATAAATGTAACAAACCGGAAGTGTAACAGTGGAGCCACTACAAATGCTAAAATGCTTGGTGGTTGAACTGAAATTATTTCTTATAGGCCTCCAAAATTAAGCCATGTCAACACAGGAAGAATGACCTAAGTGAATGGAATCAAAGCTTCTTTACTTAATAGAACAAAGTACCGATGTCAACAGAATATTAAAACCAGTAGCATAAGAATTTCAAACAGGTAATGAATTCCGTGTTTCTAAATCACAAAAGATAATTAACCTGTCTGTCAATTTCGCACAGTGGCATAGAGATAAAAACTCCAGCAGTAAGCTAAAACTTCCAACAGCTTGCAAAGCCTCGCCCATCATATTTTCGAATTGTACCTTCAGAGATTTTAGTAGACAACATCCTACTGCTACAGAGAGCAAGCCTTTGTTGTCGATAGAACTTGAAACCAATGATAAGGATTGAAGAGATGGGCAATGAATTCCCACTGCTTCTAATGAGATATCAGTAAGACTTTCACAGGAAGCAACACCAAGTGATTTCAAAGTTCTCCCACAACCAACGGCTAACTGAAACAATCCAGCATCGGTCAAACCTACACAATCCCGCAAATTTATATCTTCAAGTCGAGAACAATATTTCCCAATAGCAGCTAGAGCTTCATCGTCAAGATGACACTCCTTTAAGAAGATTGCGTAACAAAAGCTTACTTAGGCATAGCATTTAAAATAAGCAGCAATCATAAGCTAGTCATACATTACTTCTAAACTAAATCAATATATAATAAAAAATTTTGCAGAATCCAAAATTGACAAGAGACGTAAGGCAATGTTTGGTAAGAGGGGAAGATGGGTGGAACCGAACAAGATATGGGGGGGCGGGGGGGCGGGGACTTCCTATCCAATGAGATTTGATATATGTGGGGCAAAAATTAAAGAAAAATAAACTTTTAAATTCACTTTTTTTAGTCCCATGGAAACCTTACCCTCCAATCAAGCAAAGGAAACCCAATTTCCCAATAGCTTTCCACTACTACAAACCATTCCAACTTCCCTAGTACCACAGCCTTTGTTGTGGATAAACTCTGAAGCTACTGATAAGGTTTCAACTTTCAAGGGATTGGCAGTGAAATCCACTGCTTCTATTGAGACATCCATAAGACTTTCAAAGGAATAAAGACAAAGTGATTCCCACAACCAAGGTCCAACTAATCAAACCCACAAATTCAGATCTTCAAGTCAAGAACAATACTTCCCAATAGCAGCTAGAGCTTCATCTTCACCATGGAATTCCTTTAAGAGGGTGTAACAAAAGCTTACTTAAGCATAGCATTTAAAATAAGCAGCAATCATACGTTAATCTTACGCAACTTCTAAACTAGATCAATATATAATAAGAATCCAAATTAACAACATACCTAAAGCTATGTTTTCTCCATGAGGGTAAGTTTGGTGTAGTAACATAAAAAGAAAGATGGGAAGGGACTTTCTATCCAACGTGATTTGATTTAAGTTAATAAAATAAAGGAAAAAACCCTTTTGATCCACTTTTTTCATCCCTTCGAAAACTTACCCTCCAATCAAGCAAGAGAAACCCAATTTCCCTCATAGATTTACTCCCAATAACCATTCCATGCAACTTCCCCAATAACACAGCATAAGAAAATATGCAAAAGGATTCTAGATCTTGCTACCAAACAGTCACCTAAGCTGAAGAAAAACATGCAAGTAGAAAAGCTCGATTGATAATCTACATTCACATGCAATGCATATGTTCTTCATTGATTAATACTGCTCAATGATAGTTTAGACTGTAGAATGTAAGTACAATTAAAATAATGGGCAATTACCTCTAATTGCAAAGACACGAGCAATTTACATTTCTCAGCAATAGATATTAGCCCTACATGTATTGCATCAGGAAACCACATCAACCTCAAAATCTCAAGTTTGGTAAAGCCATCTCTAACAGCAGCCAATACAGAATCTGGAAAACAACACTTTCTCATCCCATTTTCTTCAGACACACTTTCACCACTGAGAGCAAATTGATTAAAATGATATGCTCTCCCCTGTATCATGAGCAATGAAGGACACATTTAAACACATGATTCCAGCAAGAGATCTAACGGGCCAATAAGAATGTAACTTAATAGTAGCTCTACAATAATTACATGCAACACTACCAAGATAAAGTAAGAGCGTGGACTTCCAAATTCTAACACTGTTACAATAAATTGAAATTTTCAATTGAATATAAACAAGCAAATCTACAAATGCCCCAATAGTATACAATTATTTTTTGCAAATTTTTTTAATAATACATATGAAGCAAGTAGATAGATTAAACTACCTCAAGGAGAAGTCATTTTGATATATAGATACAAATTAGAGAATCCAACAACTGAAGTAATCTTCTCAGATTCCCATTTCCGAGATAAGGAAAAAATGAATCCATTCTCAAATAACTATTAACCTAAGGAGTTAACAACTAGATCTTCAAATGCAATGCACAATCTTTAAAATGTTCAATAATTGCTAAATTTTCAGAAAATGTTACAGAAATGGAAGAAAATATTGTAAACAGGTTTTCAACGATCTTAGCTAAAATAGAAATTTCCATCCAAACGAGTAATTTGCATCATCACATCCAAATCCAAAAATTATTTACCTCATATCATCATACCTCCATCTTTTGTCAATTAAAGTGTTAGTAAATTCCCAATACTACGCACTTAAATCCGAAAAGGTCAATTTTTATCTTGGAGAGAAGTTTACATGTGTAACTACAAACTTACCAATTTGCTAAGGAGAATGGGGAGATTGTTAATGTTTACACTCTGGGAATTCACATCCTCTAACTAGTAATTTAACTATTGCATCAATCTTGTTAGACCTGCCTGTCATGATGGCCACATGGCTAAGCCTCTCAAGACTAAGCCATCGCTTGCTGACAAACAGTGAAAGCATCAATCCTAGACTTTGAATCTAAACCAATGTTTAAAAAAAAAAAAAAAAACCAGCCAAGGCATCAACGGGGAAAGGTAAAGGGGGTAATGGCCGAAAAATCGAACGAGGTCAAACAAGGGGCAAGACATTAAAAACATACAAAACATTGGGGTGAACAGGCCGCTTCACAGGGTAAATCTACCAGTTTTCCATGTGAACAAGACTGTAAACTGTCGATCCTTCGCTTGTTTTAACAAATACTAACTTTTCAAATTTTTACAAATAACTGAACAGATTTCTAGTTTTTCCACTCAAACCAGCCGGTACGGTCTGGTTCTGACAGCAATGACATAAATATCAAAAACTCTCTAGAATTGGCTCATTTGGTAATTTGAATTTATCAGATCTCGTCCTCTTATTACGGATAGTAGGTATTCTTCTCTGCAATGAATAACTTCAAACATTTTGTGACAACCTCTTGATACATGCTTTTCATCTCGATTACATTTGTAAGGAAACAAAAGGTTTTGAACAAGAATGTATTTTCATTTCCTGAAACAACAGTAGGCAGTCTAAGAAAACTACCATCTGTCTATTAATATTTAGTTAATGACGTCTATGGTTATGGTTTGCAATACTTCATGTTTACTAATTTTCCTATCAATAATAGATTTGAACTACCAATAGTGGACATTTGGAGCCAATTTCGACGGTCAAGGGTAAAAGGAAACACAAATAACTACTTGAGAAGACGTCTCCAGAAAGATATTGGGAAATTTTTCTAGCTTTTCACGACATTAGCGTTCATTTGTTGATAAACTGAAAACATGTTCTGTCTTGGTTAAAGAAATCTTAGTGAACTGTTTCATTAAACTATTAAACAGAAGAAAAAACAGAAATACCAACATTGTGCTTCTGTCATTGTTTTCTAAAACATTTTAATAAATGTGCAAACAAGAGCATTCTTTATTTCCTATCGTATTAGGGAATATAAAGAGTGCATGATATAGGATCCAAAAATGCTCATTACATCTCATTAACTTTTTCAAACCCTCAAGTGCTATTTGTCATTGTATAACACGATTATGAACTTACATAACTATGAATAATGCTAACCACTAAGTCAGAAAAATGCATTGCAAGCAGAATAATATCTAAAAACGGAGAAAAACAGTACCAAAACTGATTTAAATAAATGCAGTATTAAAGAAAATTAAATATCTTCCCAGAATGGTTCTTCAACAATATTGCCAAGCAAGACCTAAGGGCCAGTAGTTGTGCTGGTTACCTGGAGATAGGTACTAATATGGTTGTTTCCTCTAAATATCTCATCCACCCCAACCCTCAAAAATAAATAATTAAATTAACTCTTCCCAAATTTTAGTTAAAGATCTTTTCCTCCTTTCATAACTGAAATTCAGTCTCATATTACAGTGTTCAGTTGTCATGCTTTTATATTTCCATATCACAAAAGGCTGTAAATGGATCGGATATCGACCGGATTTACCCATATCCGATCCGCTAAGAATAATTTATGGATCCAATACAATCCAATAATCTGACCAATATCTAATTGTTAATCCCATATTCGATTTGTTATGTTATTGGATATTCAATCCGAAATATTTTACACATTCTTTTTCATTGGAAAGAGGGGATTCTCAATCTCGATACAAAATTTATTATAATATATATTAATTTATATTGAAATTTGATAGGTTTGACATTCTTCATTAAAATTAAAAGTAATAAAATATGATACAAGTTTTAAAATGAAAAAATTATGTGTAATAAATTATGCGGTAATATATCAAATATATTTTATTATTATAACAAGTTGTTATCAGATCAAATTGACTTATATCCATATTCGCTCCATTTAGTTAATGGATATCGTATTCGGATTGTGATCGGGTTATCGGACTAAGACCTAAATCCATCACTCATTACTTTCATCTTATTCGAATCGACTTCGGATCAAAATTCAATCCATTAACAGCCCAATCACAATGCAGTTGTAGTATTATTTTTACATCGTAATCGCAAACCCATTCAACGAAGGACTATTCAGAGTGGTGTGACCTTCGTTTCTAACATTGTCCCTCACAAGTGCCTTCTATACTTCTAATGCTATTTTTTAGCACAATTAGAAGCAGCCTACCTTGATAATTGCCTAGCTCGCAAATTAACATCAACACTGAAGATTAAGAAAAAAATAAAGGCCTCAATTTTATTTTATTTTATTTTTCAGTATACAACCAAACAAATGAACTGCAGTAACTTTCTCCATTGGATGCCATCATTTTTTGTACTTGTGGTGCAACAGAGATGGCAATTCAATAGTTGGCAAGCTATGGTCATATATTCCTTTTATGCTCCTGCTTACAAATTGTTTCCCTTTAAATTGCTTTATCCCCATTTGGTTGTGCCATTAGACTTATTTAGGCAGCTGATTTTATGAGGATGATTATCTTTGTCTTCAATTAGGCAAAAGACTTAACTCCTTAGTCCTTTAAATCGACAAAAGTATGGTATTGGCTCGGCAGAGGCTTTTGATTAATGGAAAATTGATAAGTTGGAGTTTATCCAATTATTACTTTGATCTTAGTCCGGTGTTTCGTGTGAAATCAAACATTTCGTGAGCACCCCTTGTCCTCCGTTTCGTTTCAATTAAATTCCACTACATCACTTGTCTTGACTCTTGCCAATTGAAAAGAAAAGTAACATGGTCCCATCTTTTTAATCAGCTATGCAACAATGACTGCATATGAAACCTGAAATCAAATTCATAAGAATACCACCAATACAAACGAAATTAAACACAACAAAAATGATGGAAAGCTTTTCATTGACTTATCCAAATGCAAACAGATACTTACTGATATGGTAACTTCAACGCTAACAAACCGCCGGGATAGAAGCTTGACGTAGGCACTGGTGCTGATATAGATAGTTTCACGGTTTAAATGCTCTAGACTGAGCCACCGCTTGCACACAACAGAGCAGGCATCTCGGCTCTCCCACGACTCCAGTTGCCTGAATATTTGCAGTATTAACCTGTCCAGCAGGACTGTATTTATCCAATCAAAACCCCTCATTTTTCACAATAATTTAGTTAATTTTGAGTATGCTTTTCTCTACGCGAAGTTACAGGAGAATGCAAGAGAGATGAAAACCTAATTTCCTTACAGGCTATAGGGCGAGTATATAAACATAAGTTGAAAGCAAAAAGAGAGAAATTCCCAAAATCTTATGAGGTTGAATCACAGGTCCAAAATCTGCATTTAAAGCACTCAAACCGGCTAGAACTCTATGATATATCACCGCTGAGAATGAATTCTTCGCAAAAAAATAGTGGCCAACGAAGATAAAGTTGTACCAGTGAGAATGAATTCTTTGCAAAATCCCCAGTTACCTAACAAACCCGACCTTTTTTTTATTTCACAACACATGCAAAATCAAGCAAACAAAGATAAAGTTGTACCGGTATCTGGCTGGCCTTTCTGGCCAATGTTAAATGTGATCTTTGATAGAATAGCATAAATAAGTGAAATTCTCTCTCCAATAATGAACCTCTTCAGCACTGTAGTTCCATGTGCTCGAGTGAATCCTGCAATTTTTATTGATGTCACACGAGTAAAAGCTCGTCTTGAACTCAGCTGGCATCCCAAAGAACTCCTTAAATATGCTCATTGTGTCATCCATTGAACTATCAGCAACTCCATGGTTGATCACCTGCATTAACAGCACACAACTAGTAGTTTTTTGTTAAATACAGCATGAACCTGAGCTTGCATTAAGAATCTCCTGAATTATCTAGGATCTGTCATCGCCTTTGACCTTTTCCAAGTCGATTACGGGAACATTTTTGCAGACATGAAAAGAATTCTCCTCAAGCCTTCTGTCTGGTGGGAATACATAACTTTTTGGCAAAGATTGAATATCAATCCAGTTTTGACACAAGAATTTTTTATTTATTTTTAATGACCGTGGGTGTCCTTGCTAGCTTATGCGCACCTCGAGTAATCCCACGGGCCCTGAAGTTTACGGCCGGATATTTATCTCAGTGGCCCTGAAGGGACTCGAACTGGTGACACAAGAATTTTCATCCTCTGATTTTAAATTTTTTTGTCTATTTCAATTTTTTGAGAAACATAGAAATACACAGATATGAAACAACAAACAATCAAAGCAAATCTGACAATATTCTTTACACTACTAGGGAGAATTTATCATTTAATGCTTGGATTGAAATTAGCACTTTTCAACTATGCAGTATAGGTTATACATCAAGCTTTTATTTGTCAAGGGAATTTTTAATTATATGAAAAAATTTGTTTTTCTACTGTAAATTGAAACTATTATAAAAGGTATTTTGATCTAAATTATAACAAAATAGACAGGAAACAAATTTGGGACATTTTTGTAAATGACAATGTGAAAGTGGACATTTTTTACAATTTCCTCTTCTTCTTTTTTTAATGTGTTGTACTTGTACCTGAGAGTAAGTGGAATGGGAATTTTAGGAAACAGATAGATCTTTTAGATGTCTTGTTTTTCCATTTCTCCTACTTTATATTTTCAATCATAGGAACTGTAGGTGTATAATTCTATCCCTCGAGTCAATTATTTTGAGCCACAAATACATTGCTTTACGTTAAGCTTTAAAAATAAAAAATAAAAAAATTCAACGATGGCCCTCCATAACTTACCTATTTGCCCTGTAGCTAAAGTTGCAAAATCAGAAATATTTATTAATGTTTCTACTTTTGCTTCCAAATCCATGATAACCAATCAATGAAGCATAGAAAACACTACTCTTGTCAAGGTCCTTAAATCAATTGGTGGGTGCTTAATTGAATGTTAGAGTTGGTATATTTACTAACATTTCAAGTTCTACTTGGTAAAGAGTGCGACTTATAATAGGTCCAGTTCTTCCAAGCACGATAAGATATTAGGACAGCTACAAGGACGGGATTTAACCAATATGTCGATTGATACCAAGAATATTTTGCAAAACCTGGGGACAAGGGAACGGTGGCACTAGGTGAAGGATTTGGTGATATCTAACTGTCATCAAATAACAAATGTACGTCTTGGCTACATAGCTAGGAGTCTGGAAACCGGCAATATACGTTCTTGCCCTAGCATTGTAGAAGCAGGAGTTACAACCTTGATTACAAGCTGTCCACAATTGAAGAAGGTATTAGTTGAGGAGCGAAAGGTTAGCCCGAGGACCAAACGTCGAGCACATCATCTTTTTAAATATGTTTGACCTATGAATAGTATATCAATTTGAATCTAAAAACATAAATGCTGGGGATATACTTTTAATGCATGGTGAATCCATTCTTACAAACAATAGCACGTTTAATCTGAAGTTTTTGCAATGATATTTGTGCTAAGTTTTCCAAATGAACTAGTCACAAGTGTTGAGATTGGTTTTCCATGTACGCGACACTTCTATTTTATCCGGTTGAAGATCAGATGTTCCGGAGAGAACTGGTCCTAAAAGAACCAGTGAGTTTCTAAGCATGGTGCACATTTTGGCTGGTGCTCGCCATCAACAATTTTGCAAAACTCACATTGGCATAAAAATCAAATAAACCCTTGCATAGTAAAGAAGATTTTTGCATGTTTATCATAGTAGTTGATTCAAGTATAAAACTCACCAAGCAGCAAAAACATATTCATAAATGCACAGAAATATACAATTTCCAAGTGGCTATCTTTATACTTACTGAGAGAGAGAGAGCAAAGAAACATCAAATGATTAAAGGCAAAGAACTTCATGCCAAGAATCTCCAACTATTTTAGTCATCAATGTAAAACATTCAGTGGCATGAAAATGTACTGAGCTTTAAATAACATGCGTTTAAAGACAAACTTTAGGAAAAAAAGATATGACACAACGGTTGTGCACATTATTGGTGAAAGCTATAAATCACATCAAATCAGCCAAGTAATAATACCATCACACCCAAAATTTTGGAAATGTCATCAAATTTATTCGTACAGATGTTAAGTCGACTTTGAAAGAAAAATGTATACTATGAATAATACCTGTTCAGTAATTCTGTCAAAACCAAAAGGTTGTAAAAGATCTATAGGTCTCAAGAACCTCAACTTCTTTCCAGAATTCTCCCAAAACACGTCTCAAAATGAGAAGAATTACCTTGGCAAAGTTTCTTTACCAAAGAAAGGAAAATACATTCACTTACTACAAAACCCATTTTCAGCATATAATCTAAAACAAATAAAGCATCACTCAACTTATCAGCCTCAGATAAACATTGAACAAGTCTCTCAAATGTCTGCTTCTGTGGTTTGAGCCTGCTCTTAAGCATAGAGCCTAACCACTCCATCCCTTCTGCAACATTTCCTTGCTCACTCAATCCAAGTATCATTGCATCATAAGCAGAAACTGCAGGTTCCACACCCCTATCTACCATATCTTTCCAGAATGCTTTAGCTTCCCCGACATTTCCAGCCTCACAAAGTTTTTCGATTAACACGGTATACGAGGCAGTTGAAGGCTGTAAACCCTGCTTTAGAAGCTGATTAAGAAAGTATCTACCCTCTGATATCTTCCCTCTCTTGCAGAAGCCTTGAATCAGAGAATTATAAGTGATCGTGTCAGGAACAATACCTTTCTCAGCCATTTGGTCGAACAAGACACAAGCTTCGTCTAATTTTCCATTTAAGCAAAGACCATTAAACATGGTGTTGTAACTCACGATAGAATCTCCATAACCTCTTTCACACATATTCTTGTAAAGCTTCTCAGCTTCCTCAGTACCACCAGTCCTCCACAACCCATTAATTAAGACATTATATGTGTGCTCATTGGGAACGATTCCCTTATTAATCATCTCAAACCACAATTTCCGAGCATCTCCAAGCCATTTCATTTTACAAAGACCATGTATAATTGTTGTATACATGACCTGATCTGGAAAATATCCTCTATCCTTCAGATTATTGAAAATTCGAAGAGCTTCATGCCTCATACGTCTTTTGCATAAACCATGAATAACTTCTTGATATGTATGTATATCTGGAGAGCAATTCTTCGCAATCATGGTATGAAGAAGAGCAGACACTTTGGCATAATCACCACTCTTGCAAAATGCAGATATCAATTTATTGAATGCAGAATTGCTTGGAACATGCCCCACCGCCAAAACTTGTTGAAGAAGCTTGTAGCCGTCTGCAACTTTGTTTTCCATACAAAAAGCTTGGACTAAGTATCCAATCGTATCCACATCACCAACAACTTCACTTTCCAGCATGTCACTATACAATTTCCACACAATGTCGACTCTTGTTGCTTTGACTGACTGTAGCATAGCTGAATTCCATGTCTTCAACGACACACAATGGCCTGCCATTTTTAACTGTTCAAATAAGTCTAAGGCTTCCTCAACCAACCCGTTTTCAAAAAGACACCCAATATAAGACTCCAAACACCCTCGTTCTGGTTCAAACTTAGTTTCTTCAAGAAAACTCTTTGCGGCTATTGCAGCCTTGGCCTCCACAAGCCTACTAAAAATCATGTTACACGAAACAGGATCCGACAAGAATCCATTTTGAGACCTGACCCAATAATAGAATCGGGCCGATAACAACACATTCTTCTGCTGCCTCAATACCTCGTTATAAACATTAGGATCAATGAAATTCACCCCCGGAATATCGGATAAAAGCGTTTGTTCCCATCTGGGCTGGGTCTGAATAACCTTGGAGATCTCTTGAGCAATAATTACATCTGTATTTTGCAGATTCCTTCCAAATTCTTCACATTTCCCCTCAATTTTGTCATTACAGAAACTTCGGGTTCGGAATCGCTTATGGAGGCTAGGATTTTGAACGGGTTTGGGACTTCTCAGGAGGCATAAATTTGAGAAAAACAATGGAGGTTTTCCCATCTAAATTTAGTTTTACTGAATTTTCAAAATTCCTCTTCAATGAAAATGTAAATAAAAATTTGGTATCAAAAGATTGATATTACATTGAGCACATACCATGTCATATACATATAAATTCATGCGTCTGTGTGTGGAAAGTTTCGTTCTTTGAAAAAAATTCTTTCATTCATAGTCATAGACATGGGCGGACCCAGGAAGTATTTTCAGTGCGGGCGATATCAACCACAAAACCGATGATTCATTGCACTTCTCCGACAATATACCATTATTCACAAAACTAAAATCGCATCATGCGGTAATCCCCTAACACGAATCTGCTACCTGTAGCGTAAAAAACATAATATTGAAAAGTTAACTAACGTAAAGAATCGAACTTTGGACAAAAACAGTAAAGCCCTAAATTTTAGTTTAGGCCCTAAAATCTAATAAAAAGATCCATTTTAAATCAATTATGAGATGGGAAATTGAGAATAACATTATAATACAGTAAAATCTTGATGCTAGAAAACAAGAAGAAATTGGGGGCGGCCAAAAATCTTACACCAAATCAAATTCCATACCAAATTTGATGCTTGAAAAGGACAAGAAAGAGATATTTAATGGAGAAATTACCTTTGAATGAGGCTTGAAGTGTGTATATCATAGCACAGCAGGGTTGGAAACAGGGCCGGTCCTGTGATTGTTGAGGCCTGAGGTTAAATCCGTAAATTAGGCCACCGACGAAATCAACGTAAATGTAAAATTCTATGGTGTATAATGCCCCTCCACAAAATCAACGTGAATGTAAAATTCTACGGTGTATTATACCCCCAGTGAAATCAACGTAAATATAAATTAGTTACTACGTGCGCCTGTGCAATTATTCATCCTACAATAACCAATCATATAAGCCGACCAGCCTGCAATTATATAAATCGAGAAGGCTTCAAACATTTTCAATCTTTTCAATAACAAGTTAGGGCAAGCCATTACTTACTTGGGAAGTGGAATTTCGACGAAAATTATGGAATTACACCCTTGAGAATTCCACCATCACAACTCACGAGCCTGAAATAAAAATTTAAATAAAATCATGATACTTTAACTTACACATTATCAAATTTAAGTAAAATTAAATTTAGGGCATTATCACATTGTAAGAAGTTATCCGAATGAATTCCTTCAATTAAGTTATAAAATTCATTCACTGATGCAAAATGGATTTTCTAACTATACAAGTGACCAATAGTCATTAAGCTGTAATTATTTAAATATCTAAGTTATCTATTTAAAAGAAGGAAAAAAAAATCATATTGATGCTAATGATTTTACATTTTTCAAGTTTAACTAAAAGCGACAACTTACATATAAGCTATTGGCTTGAATAAATTCTTGAAATACAGGATCCAATCTGAATCTCATCTTCCATTCTGGCTTCTGCTATACTTTAAGGGCCTGAAAATTGTTAACGTGTATAGGGTAATACAGTAATAGGAACCAAAGTCTTTTACCAACGAAAAATCAAATCTATGAAATCCCTCAAAATTCCAAAAGAAGTGTAGTTACTGTCCTGTCAATCGATGCCCAATATCAATGAGTACCAGGAGTTGCAGCAACGCTTGATTCTCTAATTTACTTTGCCCTATTCTCAATCTAATAAAAATTCTAACCCCAGGTCCCATCAGAGGTGGAGTGACAGACTTGCAAAGATGAGACTTCGATCGACGAGCAGGCACTACAGGCCCTGAGATTGAATTTCAGATTTGGAAAATTTAAGGATTGAATTTCGGGTAAATGGATTGTGGATAATTGGATATATATAAGTTGGGTTGGTAAATAGATTAAGGGTAAACGGATTGTGGGAACCGGCGTACGAAGCGACTGGCGTCAGACGGGCAGAGGCGGACTGGTGGAGTGACCTAACTCGTGGAGACAATATTTCGACAATGAGTAGTCCTTGGATTGAGTTTCAGATTTTAGGAATTTTGGGTAAATGGATTGTGGATATTGGATATATAAGTAGGGTTGGGTACATAGATTTTAGGGTAAATGGATTGTGGACTGTTGTTTAGTTGTTGGATATTTGGTTTTGGATCGATTGGCCTCATTTTTTAATTAAAAAAGGGGCCAAAATTAGGCCCGCTATGGTCTCGGGCTTGAGGTCTAGGCCTCATTGGCATCGCTTTCGGATCGAGCCTGGGTATATGGTAAAAGGGAAAATTTCATATGTAAGAAATTAAGTATGACATATTTCAAGTTTAAGAAAACAAGTTTCAAATTTAAGAAATCAGATTTTTATTAAAATTTATTTATGATTTAATTAATTAATTAATTATTTTATTAAAAATATATTTATGTCACATATCTATACAATTTGGTCACAAATTAACAATTTAATTAGTCACTTATTATTCTTTTATCACAAATTAGAAATTTTATGTGACAAATTATTTTACGATCACAAATTCAAAAAATTTGTAAGTTAAAATTTGTTCATCCGTCACAAGTAAAAAAATTTAGGATAATGATATATGTACAAAATATTGTACAAAATTTTTGACAAACTCGACAAGTGGCAGGACATCCGCCCCTCCAATAAGGGGCCACCACTTGTCGAGTTTGTCAAACATTTTGTAGGTGAGTTTGTTAATGTAGCATTGTCCAAAAATTTATTAGTAAGGGATTAATTTTTAGTCGCAATTTATCAAATTATTAGCCGCAACTTATTTTTTGGTCAAAAATCAAAAAATTAGGTTACATATTATTTTTCAATCACAAATAAAAAAATTTATAGGTCACAGATCACAAATATTATAGGTCATGTTGTAAATGGAAAGTCGATTAAAGTTTATTGGTGAATGACATTTGTACCCCTGTAGCCCTAGAAATTATTACCATTGTATCCCTGATTCTTACCTATAAATATAGGGCTTTGGTTTTCAATAATACACACAAAAAGTTTATTGAGTTTTCTCTATTCTCTTTGACTCTCATTTTATAACACGTTATCAGCACGAAACTCTTAGAAGATAATAATTTTTTTTCCATAGTCATCTATCACGTATATCAAAATTAATTTGATAACACGTGAATTTTACATATACATATGTTTAATCTGCAATACATGATCTCATCTTTCTCGATCATTATATTTTCTTTGTACCTCTCTTTGAATTAATTAATGTTTTTTTCCTTTACATCAATCCACGTGCATTTTTATATTTATGTTAAATCAATTGATATGCATTAATTCATGTTCCTATACCCTCCTTATATTTAGATTAACCCTTTACGTTCTACACATGCTTATAATTTTTTGGTTTAATTGGTCAATATTCTTTGTGTGTAAGCTTCAATTCCAGATCTTTGTTTTGACTGATTCCATATATATGATATACAATTAACAAATAACTGTACCCAACTCATCTTTTCTCTCAAATCCATTGGTTTCTGCAAATTTCATGCCTTAATTGGTTAATACTAATTCCATTCTTTTAATTGCACATAATTAGAATTTCGTGCCATAATATGTGAATAG